GATAGATAGATAGATAGATAGATAGATAGATAGATAGATAGATAGATGTGATAGAGATAGAAAGAGTTAGGTAGGCAATGATATAGATAGAAATAGATAGGCAATGATAGACAGATATAGATGGATAGGCAAAGATAGAGATAGGCAATGATAGATAGATAGGACAGATAGATAGATAGATAGATAAGACAGACAGACAGACAGACAGACAGACAGACAGACAGACAGACAGATAGATAGACAGACAGATAAGTGATGATAGATAGAGAGATAGACAGGTGGATTGACAGATGGATGAAAGATAGATCTCTCAATCTTTGGAGGAGTCTTGATTCCTGGAGATCACATTGACATACCCCCCATGCAGTCTTTTTGGCAACTTTTCCAGAACTACCACAGCTTCCTATATTAGTACTTTCTGAAGGCTTGTGGGGGTGGGGGGTGGGGTAGGAAATGGCTTTTCACCCAGCTGGCTTCCTGCCCAAAGACCAGGTCTGGGAACCCCTGTCCCCTCGCTTCCAGTCCACACCTTGGACCACCACACCAAAGTGGAGATGCAAACATCGCAAGGGAAACCCCCAGGAGAAAGTGACGGGGGGGTCTACCAGGCAGCCACGAACACCTGCATCTTGCAGAGGCATTCCTTCCGCTCTTTTTTAAGGCTGGGCTATGGAAATGGGAGCCTTATACTACTGGAGAGATCTTAGAGTTGAGACAGGTGGCACCCCAAGCATTCTTCAAACAGAGAAGATCCGTTTGCAAGGATGATGAGGGGACTGGAGACTTAAATATACGATGAACAGTTGCAGGAACTGGGCCTGGCTAGTCAAGGGAAGAGAAGGACCAGGGGAGACAGGATAGCAGCCTTCCAGTATGTGAGGGGCTGCCACAGAGAGGAGGAAGGGGTCAAACTATTTTCCAAGGCACCTGTAGGCCAGACAAGGAACAATGGATGAAAACTGATCAAGGAGAGATTCAACCTGGAAATAAGGAGAAATTTTCTGACAGTGAGAACAATCAACCAGTGGAACAGACGTTGCATTCAGAAGTTGTGGGAGCTTCATCACTGGAGGCTTTCAAGAAGAGACTGGACTGCCATCCCTCAGAAATGGTGTAGGGTCTCCTGCTTGGGCAGGGGGTTGGACTAGATGACCTACAAGGTCCCTTCCAGCTCTGTTAATCTGTAAGTTCTTAAGAATGGCATGCTTGGATGAAGAGAGAGAGAGAGAGAAAAACTCCTTCCAGCTCCAAAGCAGGGAAGAAAGACCCTGCTTGGAAGTTTCAAGCAATTTAATTCTGGGTTTCCCCTCCTCTCCCCTCCCCTCCCCCATAACTCCAAGGCCTCCTTGAGAAAACCCCCGCACTTATCCCCAGGAAGGAGGTTACGGCTGCCGTTTATCAAAAGCCCTGGGAGTGGAGCAAGGGAGATGTCGGTTGGGGCAATCTGTCATCCAAATGGATTTGCTTGGCGGGGCGGTCCTGCTCCGGGGGCCAAGGGGGAAAGGGGGGGGGGGGGGCGAAGGGGGACTGAATGAAGAAGTGCGCAGCTTGTGCCGAAGAGAAGCAAGGCCAGCTGTCCCAGGTCTGCCCACTCTTTTCCCTGCGCACAAGGCAGCTTTGCGGCTCCAGGAAGGAGGGGGGGGGGGGGGGGGGGGGGGGGGGGGGGGGGGGGGGGGGGAGGTGGATCAACAGGTGGACGGTTCTTGACCATCTTTCAGTCTGAAAGGACAACTTTCAAGCTGTCTCTTTTTACTGCCTGATAACCTAAGACAGCTCCTTGCCTGCCTGCCTTTTCCTTCCTTCTTCCTTCCCTCCCTCTTTACTTCCTTCCTCCTTTCTTCTAATTTCTTTCCTCTCTCTCTCTCCACTAATTTTCCTTCCTTCCTTACTCTTTTGTTCCCTCCTTCCCTCCCTCTCTATTTCCTTCCTAACTTCTTTCCTCTCTCCCCTCCACTAATTTTCCTTCCCCTCTCCCCTTCCATTCTTCTCCTCCTCTGTAATTCCTTCGTTTTCACCCTTCCTTCTTTCTTCTAACTTTTCCTCTCTCTCCCTCCATTAATTTTCCTTCCTTCCTTCCCTTTTTCCTCTCCTTCTCCATTTCCTTCTTCGTTTTCACCCTTCTTTCTTCTAACTTCTTTCCTCTCTCCCTCCATTAATTTTCCTTCCTTCCTTCTTTCCTCCCTCCCTCCCTTCCCATCTTCCCCTCCCTCTCTTTACTTCCTTCCTTTTTCACCCTTCCTTCTTTCTTCTAACTTCTTTCCTCTCTCTCTCCACTTCTTTCCTTCCTTCCCCTCCTTTTCTCTTTACTTCCTTCTTTCTTCTAACTTTCCTCTCTCCCTCCATTAATTTTCCTTCCTTCCTTCCTTCCTTCCTTCCTTCCTTCCTTCCTTCCCTCCCTCCTTCCTCTTCCTCCCTCTGCAGCATCCTCATACACCCCAAAGCACACTCACCCTCTTTCTCTGCTTCAGCTGGGCTCCGATGCGGAGCTCCCCGAGGGCTGTTGCTGGTGCTGGAGCAAAGGGGGGGCTCCTTCTCCGAGGGGGGCAGCTTGCTGAGTGCAGCCTCCTCCTCCTCCTCCTCCTGGGCCAGGGTGATCTGCTGCTGGTAGAGGGCCAAGGTGTGGGGAGGCACGGGGGCTTTTGTGGCTCCGCTCTGCAACGCTCCCTCCAGTGCGCCTTCGGAAATCTGTGGGGAAAGGAGAACTTGGGTTAGGGCCCTTTGCAATGGGCACCCATCGCCCCCCCCCCCCCCCCCGCCCGTGATGTTTGTATTAAGTTAGTGTCAGTCAGTTGTGCTAGTTTCATCAAAAACCCAAAGCTGTTGGAAGGGGGAAAGAAGACAGAAGAAGGAAAGAAGAGAAATGGAACGAGGAAGAGAGAAGAAAAGACAGAGAAGGAAGGAAGGGAGATTAATGGAGGGAGGGAGAAATCAGAAGAAGGAAGGGTGAGAGAAATGGAAAGAAAGAAAAAGAGAAGGAAAGAAAGAGGGAGAAGTAGGGAAATAGAGGACAGGAGGAAGGGAAGGGAGGATGAGATGGAAGGAAGGGAAAAAGAGAAAAGGAGCGAAGAGGAGAGGAGAGGAGAGACAGACTCACAATGGGAGGGATGGCAGCTGCCCTCTGCTTCAGCTGCTTCAGGTCCAGAGGCTTCTGAGGTGAGGAGGTGAGCCGGGCATCATTGGGGGTACCAAGGAGGCTTAAGCGGGCAGCCGGCAACCTGCAGAGAGACCCAACAAAGCATTGCTTTGGCCCCAAAATTCAAACCAATTCGCTTGAACAGCTGCAGAGATTCACTCAACAACCACGGGGAAAAGGTCACAAAGTCAGGCACAAGCCACTTAACAACCACCTTGATTAGCAGTGGGAATTCTGGTCTCGCGTATGTTCTTAAGCCGAGGACCACCTAGGATTTTTTGACTTTGCTGAAAAGTCAACCCTGAGTTGATCTCTTCAAGTCCTTAGGCAACTGTCTTGAGGCTCTGTCTCACTTTTGGCTAAGAGATGAGGAACCCAGCCATCTTCTGGACCATGGGAGACCCCATCAGGAAGACCTTGGGGTCTCTGGGACTGTTCCCAGCAGAACAAAGACCTGTCTATTGACCTCGTGTTGACTTGGTTCCTTGATGTGAGGGTCAAAAGATAAAGACCACGAACTCAGAGAAGATCATGAACCCTTGTTGGAATGTCTTCTGGATCATGGGAGATCCTATCCGAAGACTTTGGGCTCTTTGGGATTGGTTTCACCAGAATTAAGATTTATGGGACTTGACTGATGACCTCGTGTTAAGCCTCATTGATATAGGTGCTAGAAGATAAGAGCACCAACTTTTAAGCTTTGGCGGTTCATAAGATAAGACCATGAACCTTGTGGGAATGTCTTCTGGATCATTGGAGATCCCATCAGAAGACTTTGGGGTCATCCTGACATCCAAGCTGTTTCTCCTATAACAGAGATAACAGATAATCAGAGTGGGAAGGGACCTTATAGGTCATCTAGTCCAATCCCTCACCCAAGCGGGAGACCCTACACCATTTCTGACAGATGACAGTCCAGTCTCTTTTTGAAAGTCTCAAGTGATGGCGCTCCCACAACTTCCAAAGGCAACTTCTGTTCCATTGGTTGATTGTTCTCACTGTCAGAAAGTTTCCCCTTATTTCCAGGTTAAATCTCTCCTTGTTCAGTTTCCATCCATTGTTCCTTGTCTGGCCTTTGGGTGCTTTACGAAATAGCTTGACCCCTTCCTCCTCTCTCTGGCAGCCCCTCAAATATTGGAAGATGCTCTCCTGTCTCCCCTGGTCCTTCTCTTCCCTAGACTAGCCAGGCCCAGGTCTTTGGGACTGCTTCTACTAGAACAAAGATTTATGGGACCTGGCTGAGGACCTCGTGTTAAATCTCCTTGATGTGGGTGCCAGAAGACAACAGACTTTCAAGCTTTGGAGACTTGATGGGAGAAGACGCTGAACCATGTTGGAACGGTTACCATCAAAAGACCTTGGGGTCTTTGGGACTGTTCCCACTAGAACAAAAAGACCTGGCTGATGACCTCGTGTTGACTTATCTCCTTGACGTGAGTGTCAGGAGATAAGAACGCAAACTCCTAAACTCTGGAGGTTTGTAAGAGAAGATCATGAACCACACTTGGAATATCTTATTGTCTATTGGAGAACCCATCAGAAGATTTTGGGGATTAGTATCACCAGAACTAAGATTTATGGGACCTGGCTGAGGACCTCATGTTGACATCTCCTTGATGTGGGGTGTCAGAAGATAACATCACCAACTCTTAAGCTTTGGAGATTTAGAAGAGAAGATCAGGAACCATGTTGGAATGTCGCCCATCCCATAACCGGCGAAAAGCGGAACAGATTCAACCATCCCAGGGATCTCCCAGGGGTTTAATCCACTGGCAAAAAACGGGATTAGGTTTCCGCTTGGTGTTCTCTGGCTCTTTTTTTTTTTTTAATTCCTGTGAACATCTTTGGCTGTTCCCAAGCCATAAACTGACAACGGTTAATGCATGACTGTACAGGCCTCAGTATTCATTTATATTTAGCCTGACCCATGCTTGAACTTCTCATTCCTCCAGCTGCCAGCAGCAACCTTTATAAAATATAGATATATATGCAACGATAATTATCTTTAGAGACCTTTTCCCCCGCTTCTCTTCCCTGGAAGGATGTGAAGCTATGGCATCCATCCTCAACCCGCACCAAACCATTGGGGCCAGTATGCTAAGATAGAATAGAATAACAAGGTTGGAAGAGGGGACCTTGGAGGTCTTCTAGTCCAACCCCCTGCCTAGGCAGGAAACCCTACACCACTTCAGACAGATGGTTGTCCAATCTCTTCTTAAAAACTTCCAGCCTTGGAGTATCCACAACTTCTGGAGGCCAGCTGTTCCACTGGTTAACTGTCCTCACTGTTAAGAAATTTCTCCTTAATTCCAGGTTGCCGCTCTCCCTGATTAGTTTCCATCCATTATTTCTTGTTTTCTGATTGCTTTGGAGAATAAATTGACCCCCTCTTCTTTGCGGCAGCCCCTCAAATATTGAAACACTGCTATCATGTCATGCCTAGTCCTTCTTTTCTCTAGACTGGCCCTACTCAATTCCTGTAATGGTTCTTCGTATATTTTAGCCTCCAGCCCCCTATATTTTACTTACTAAGTCTTTCTCTAAAGCCTTAGTAAGGCCACACTTAGAGTACTGCATCCAGTTTTGGTCACCACACTATAGAAAAGGATGTTGAGACTCTGGAAAAAGTGCAGAGAAGAGCAAACCAGGATGATGAGGGGACTGGAGGCCAAAACATACGAAGAACAACGCAACACTAAATAGCAATAACATCAAGATCAAATAAGGTACTAATACCACTCTACAAAGCCTTAGTAAGGCCACACTTAGAGTACTGCATCCAGTTTTGGTCTCCACGCTATAAATGTAGATGTTGAGACTCTGGAAAGAGTGCAGAGAAGAGCAACCAGGATGATGAGAGGACTGGAGGCCAAAACATACGATGAACGGTTGCAGGAACTGGGCCTGGCTAGTCTAGGGAAGAGAAGAAGGACCAGGGGAGACAGGAGGGCAGCCTTCCAATATTTGAGGGGCTGCCCCAGACAGGAGGAAGGGATCAAGCTATTCTCCAAAGCACTTGAAGGCCAGGCAAGGAACAATGGATGGAAACTGATCCAGGAGAGATTGATTCATCCTGGAACTAAGGAGAAATTTTCTGACAGTGAGAACAATCAACCCCTGGAACAGAAGTTGCCTTCAGAAGTTGTGGGAGCTTCATCAGTGGAGGCTTTCAAGAAGAGACCAGACTGCCATCTGTCAGAAATGGTGTAGGGTCTCCTGCTTGCGTGGAGGGGTTGGACTAGAAGACCTCCAAGGTCCCTTTCCAACTCTGTTCATCTGTTACATGTTAGGCCCCCAGCCCGCTAATTATCTTTGCCACTGTTTTCTGCACTCTCTTTCCAGAGTCTCAAGATGTTTTTTTTTTTGGGGTGGTGGGGTGGTGCAGAGGAGTACCTGGCTTCCTTCCAAGCCGATGTCATAAATTTGTACTCCCAATGCTCTTGTTTTCTCCCGCCCTGGGTCAGCCCTCCCTTGATAAATGTCTGCCCAAGAATATGATTTCAAGAGGCATTTAAGGAAATGGAGTGAAAAGCGCTGCACTAAATAAGCCTTTTCAGCCGCGGGGAGACAGGCAGGCAAGGCAGCTGTCCCAGAACCGACTGGCTGTCCGGGAAGTGACCGTCTGGTGGTGCCTGACCTCCTTT